TCCACTAATATATTTCCCAGTTATCAGCAAAGATGGCCCAAATGTCTACTTAGAGGAAACGCATTGGTCCTCTCATTCTCCACCCCTTCTCTTTTTCTTCCGTCGGGCACAGCATGATGGCTTCCACGGGAGCTGTGTGGCCCAGTTTCAGCATCCTAGTCCCCCTATGGTTAAGGGACTCCAGAGACCATCCAGCTCACGTGCCTTATTCTGGCTCTGAAAACTGAGACTCAGGGAGGCCAAGTGACTTGCTCAAGGCCATAGAGAGGTCCGCAGTAGAGCTGTTCTGGGAACCAAAGTCTGCAGACTTCCAGCCCAGCCCTCATTCTAATAAATCAGGTTTTCCAGTTTTAGACGTTCTAGCCAATGCCTCTAGGACTGCAAGCTTGGGATCATAAAGATTTGGAGCTCAGTGGACAGAGTGACCTCTCAGGACCATAGAGACTTGACGGCCATGGAAGAGTGACCTCTCAGAGGATAGGCTTTCCTCAGAGCACAGAGATCTGGTTAGCTAAGGTTGTGGGAGGGGTGAGGGAAGAAGGAGAAAAGGGATAATATTTCAATGAGGGGTGAGGGGGTGTCGAGGGTAGCAAGTGAAAGGATTACCCCAGTCGACTGACGAGTGCAAATTATATTTATATATGTGCTAAATACAGTCACTATATTGCAGTTTCACTATATCACAGCATACAGAATCAAAGGTTTGCATTTCGTATGGAATGTATCCAAAGAGGCCAGCACCACAGTAGGACAGCTTGCGATCACACACCCTGATAGTTTGGACGAAATAAAGTTCGCGGAATTTTATTTAAATTTTTTTTGTACTTGTAGTTTGTCATCGTATTAATGCATGCAAAGCATTCCACTCCCAGAAACAACGCCAAAATGAGGTAATAGGAGTAATAAAAAAAATTAGTATCCTTTCTAAATAAATAAATTATAATTAAAAATGCAAAACAACTATAAAAATAATTAAATAAGAACCCACAATATCTACAAGTTAGTCATAAATTATGATTGTTAAATATAAGGCATTTAAACTCACAAAACCCTGTAAACTAGCAACGTGCCATGGTTGGTGTGGTTGTGTTTTTTTGTTGGGTTTTTTTTTTGTTTAGGTTTTTATTTTTTTGTAGCTTTTTTTTTTAATTTTTGTTTTTCTATTGGCTGAAATCGCTCTAGCATTTGCTCTATGCGCAGATGAGACATGAGGAAAAGACCTGACAGACGTTGCTAACAGCCCCACGCGGGGAGTGTTTGTCCCGCCTGGAAGAGGGGGGACTTGGGGGGGGGGATTTCTTCAGGAAAAGGGAAAAAAAAGTCTGGTGCTTTTTCTTCACCGTTGAAAAAACTGTGCTTGTTTGTTCAGTAGGCGTAGAGCACGGAGGCTGGGAACACTTGCAGGAAAGGAGCTGGAGTCCTGCCTGCCACAGGCGGTGGACAGTGGACGAGGGCTAAAAGGGCCCAAGGGGGTCCCGGCTGGGTAGGGGAGCCCCTTGGACCCTGCCCTGCCCGGCCCTCTGCCTGCCCGCTCCGCTGGGCTCGTGGTGTTGGTTTGATTGATTGGTGTCCTCCTGGGCCGGCCGTGGCTGCTTCTGGCCCTGCGGCTGTGTTAGGAGGCCCACCGTGAATCCTGGGGCAGCTGTTGCCCCAGAAGGCACTCATGCGTCTCAGTCAAGAAAGGGTCTGAGTCCCTTGAGTTGAGCAGAAGGAGGACTCCTGGTGGTTTCCCCTCCTGGGATGGTGGATGTGAGATGCCGAGGCCTGACCCTGTCTCTTCTCTGTCCCCTCAGGGCTCCCCATTGGTCAAAGGAGGACCCCTTGGGGATGTAGAAGCAGTGAGTTCTCTCCTCTCTTCTCACTCAAACCACTGCCTGGTCAGGAAAGCCAGGAGCTAGTGAGGACTCTCAGTCCCCAGCCCTTCCTGTCTCTACTGATCAGGCCCAAGGGTTCCAGAGAGCTAGAAAGGAGGGGGGACTTCAGGATCCACCCCTAAAGTAAGCCGCTTATCTCTCCCTTCTGGATAATCTCTTCCCCAGCCCCTAATATTAGGCTGGGGCACACAGGGAGCTTGCAGAGAACAGATAGAGGGGAGGGATGAAGCCCCCTCTCATACTCAGCACTTGCGCCCTCAGCTTCTGAAACAGATGTTCATGCCCATGGAAGGTCATAGTCAGCAGTTCAGCTGGCACGTGGCTCCACCAGCTTGGAAGGAGATGAACTGATGTTAAGGAGGGTCACCGGATGTGAAGGCTGGAAAGAAATGAAGCAAGCATCCGATTCCACCTCCTGTGTTATAGCTGAGGGAGCGGAGGCCCAGGGAGAAGCGAAGGGGTGGGAGATTTTACAGTTGCACACTTTGTCAGTGTCCAGTCAACACTGGAACTCAAGCCTTCGGCTCTGGCTCCGTCCTGGCGCCCTTCCAAGGGCTCCCTTCTGACGGCTAGCCTTTCAAAGCAACCTCAGAAAGGAGAGCAGAAGACTTGAGACTTAGGCCTCCCAGAGACCACCCAGCTGCCTCCAGACCAAAGCAGTTTTCTGGTGGGATGCTCAGCTTGGTTTCAGTCACTGGCGAGTGTGGAGCAGGCTTCCCTATTTCCTGTGGCGATTAGTAACTAGCTTTCCTCCAAATTCTGACTCAGATACACTTTCCCTCCTAGTAGAATGACCAACCTTGAGCTCTATAGACATGTTCACTGGCTAGAATCACTGGATTGGACAGTGTCCTTTCCACTGCAATTGACCCTGGATCTGAAAAGTATTCACCCTTTTTGCTTTATTGTACATGTCTCCATGGCTAGACTATATGCTCCACAAGACAAGGAAATTATCATCTTCGCTAGAACTGTCTTTCCCAGTACCTGCACCAGCAGGCAATCAAGAAAGTATTTCTAGAACATCAGGGTGTTAGAGCAGACCCTTAGTCTTTGAGAAAAGCTCTTAAGTGAAGCCTCTAGCACTTACTAGACTGGCAGGGTCCAGAGCAGCAGCTCCTACACTGGACAGCTCTAGAGATCGGAAAGCGCTTCCTCCAGCCCGGTCAGCCTCCCTGTCACTTTGCCTGGTCTGTTGTTAATTCACATGAGTCTATTCTGACTCAACGGCAACCAACCTCTGTAGCAGCAACACAAACTCAAATTCCCTTCATTTCATGGAAGTTCTTCATATGACAAGCATCCTGCCCCCTTGGTCCTCTTGCTGATAAAAGGGCATTGGAAGTGGGGAAGGATTGAGATGGAGGGAAGGGCTTTTAGAGCAGTGCAAATTAAGGAGAACAGAGAATGAGGGGCAAAAGGAGATAGACGAATTCCAGCTGACGTGTGTTCTGCGTGGAGACAGAAGAAAGTTGGGCTTGGGATGGAATCTGGGGGATTTCCCCATCTCCGTTCTCCTGTCCTCTCATTTCCCTGGTCTCTCTAGGGTTCAAATAACTGGGGATTTTGCAGAAGTAGATATATATTGGCATTTGGAACTTCCAGATCTGTCTTTTCTATGATATCCCATCCCTAAAGCTCAAGACAATTCCTAGTGGGAGCACAGAGTTGATTGGCTGGATGATGCCAATCCTCACAACATCCAGACAAGGTAGGAGTGAAAAACTGGACACACTGCTGCTTCTTTCCATTCTAAGGGGCAGTAAACTGAGGCACAGAGGAAAGGAAAGGGCTTGCCCCAGGTGATCAAAGAATCAGAGGAAGAGCCAAAATCGGACCCTGAGAACCTCCCAAATCCAGCCAGCATGGTCTTAGTGTACTGAGAGATCACACCAAGGACATCAGACATGCCTAAGGATGCACAAGGTCTTCCCACATTCATGGTCTCAGTCCCAAGCACTAGGTGAGAGCACTTTGGCCAAGACCCAGAGTCCATCACCTATGTCGCCTGCTGTCATCATCTGGGTAGGCTTTTTCTTCTCTTTCTTTCTTTTTTTTTTTTGCGTAAGGTGGCAGTGACTAAAAGGCATGAGTAGAAGGAAGAAGGCGGCGTGAGCTTGGGTGTTCTGGCTCCGAGGAACCCAGGGGGTGGTTGTAGCTGAAGGCTGACCCCACTTTGGTCCAGGGGGGTGGGGGTGAGCTGAAGCCAAGCAGCAAATGAGCCCTGGAATTGGGAGGTCCTCCCACAAGTTAGAGTTCCCCCCCTTTCACCTTCTCCAATTCTACCTTCCTGTCTTCAGCAAAGTCACCTCGAGGGCTGAACAAGATCTCCATCTGCTCCTTTTACCAAATGCCCCTCCCCCATGCTCCGTGCACTGTAAACATGATAAAAACAAAAGCAAAGGAGAAAACAAAACACACACACACAAAAACGAGAGCCCCACCCGCCTCCTAACCTGGGGGGAAATAAAAATCATCCTTTTTCACCGTAAACAGGATTTGGCTTTTCTTTTTCTTTTTTCATTATTCAATCTTCTTTTCCCCTTTTCTTTCACAAACAGGAAGATTTGGGCTGTCGTTGATTGGTTCAGTCAGGCACCAAAACAAAGAACTCAATGGGAAATATTTGGTGCGAACTTGGTAATAGCGACACGTCCACCACAGATGACTAGAGCACCACATACATTTGTCGTAAGCTAACATGCTCCGGCTGCCATCCACAGACATAGCTAGAGACCCCTACATGGTTTCTACGTGGTCGAGAGGTATATATACAATCCTTCCAAGGACAGGATTGAGGGCCTAGTCTATCAGCTAGAACCTTCTGGATCACATCTACACTCTCAGCAGCGTGGGCCCCCCTCCCCACCCCTGCTCCGGGCACGGCCAGCTCCCTCCCTCCCATGCAGCAAGGCGATGGGGGCGGTCACCGTTCTGCATGGCCAGGTGCTCCCCCTGCCCCTGCTTTCCCTCAGACTGACACCACCAACTCCTCTTTCCATCAAATGTGCTTGCAGGCTTTTCCTCTACATCAAATGGCTCAGAAGGCAAAGTTTGGCTGCAAGGGCTATGGCCATGGGGGGACCTGGTGAAGGAAAATGGGGCATTCACTGGCTCACTCCTCCCTCAGCTGTCGGCTCCCAACTGTGTCTCAATGTCCACTCGGCAGATGGGGCATTTCTTGCTCATGGCAAGCCACTGGTCCACGCAAAGTTGGTGAAAGAGATGCATACAGGGTAGGCGTCTGGAAGAGAGGAGAGGGGGTCAGATTTCTGGTGGGGGAAGAAGGGAGCTGCACCCGGAGCTGAAGGGGGATGAAGGCTAAGGTCCTGAGCAGACCAGGAGCCATACACCCAGGATCCATGAAAAATTGGTCAAAGGCGGTCTTAGGAGCCCTTTGTGGCTGAGATGGGAAATCAGGCAACAAGTGGAGCTCGCAGCCCTTTTCTTTCATGGAAATCTTTCAGATCAACCTACAGTGAACTATGGCTTTGCCCTCATCCAAGGCCAGCATCATAGGATCTCTTGCCCATTCACCTGTCATACCTCTGTGTACCACACATCCACACCCATCCTCCCACAGCCCACTAGTCAGTACAGGACCTGCTCACATGCACAGTCAGGCAACCCCCTCATTCCCACAGACCAGGCAGCAAAGGATCACCCAGCCCTGTGAGAGGAGGAAGAGGAAGTCAAAGCTGCGGGCGTCCTACCTCACATCCTCTCCGTCTTCGAGCATAGACAGACAGATTGTGCATTTCTCATCTGTGTCGGACTCCTCCCCCTCTTCCTTCTTGCCCTTGCCATCCTGGGGTCTTCGCTGTGAAAAGCAGAAAGAAGAGTGGAGTGGGCTCAGCTAGTGGCTGCTGTCTTTCGGACGCAGGCCCCTCTCTTTGTGAGCCTACTCCTTTTGAGTCTTTATAAGACTTAAGTAAAGGAAGTAAGACTTTAAGTCTTGAGCAAAGTCCAGACTTCTGTCCCTTCTCCCAGCATCCTTTCTAACTTCTCATGCTCACTGTAGTCTGGAGAGGGTTAGAGCCAAGAGAAGGAAGGACCAGGCAGGCTTCTTTTTGCTGCTCCAGACACTTTCTAGGGGCATGGGATCTAGAAAGGAATAGGTATCTGATGAATAAATCTTTTGCAAAGCCTTGGTTCCTGTCTCAAGAGTGGTGTTTCTGGTGAGCTCTGGTGGCCTAGTGAAAGGAAACTGCACTGCAATCCCAGAGGAGCACGGTTCAAATCCACCAGATGCTCTGCTGAAGAAGGAGGAACAGCCGCCTCCTATACCAGTCAGATCCAATTTGACGGTACACACATAAAAAGAATAAATAAATAAATAAATAAATAAATAAATAAATAAAAGCTATCTTAAAAAAAAAAGAGTGGCGTTTCTGTTCTACTCTTGCAATGTACTCCTTTTTTAATTGATATTTTATCAAAAGTTTACAGAAAATATGAATTTCCATTCATTCATTGTCAGATATTTTCCTCCCAACTGCCGCCTCAAACCCTTCCCCCCGTTAGCTTTTCTCTTTAAGAAAAACCTTTCATTGTTGCACAATTTCTCCCTCTCCCCAGTCCACTTTGCTATGTACCTCTCTCTTAGTCTGGACTGCTGTCATCCAAATAATACCTAATCATACATTCCTTTCAAGTAGTTCTTTCACTCACCTATTCCAATGCACTGTATATTATTTATCACCTCTTTTCTTAGTTTCCCTCCAACCCCCATGCCAGTCCTGTTTTATAACAGCGGCATATGCAGTATTTGTCCTCTTGTGACTGACTGAGCTATTTCACTCAGCATAATGTACTCCAGGGTCACTAATTTTGTATAATATTTTACGAGTTCCTTGGTTTTCAATGCTGCGTAGTATTCCATTGAGTGACTATATCACATTGATGGGCACTTGGGTTATTTCCATCTCTTTGCTATTATGAACAAAGCAGCAATAACATAGGTGCGCATATATCTGTTTGGGTAACAGTTCTGGTTTCTATCTGCTCCTTTTTATATTCTGGGTTGTTTCCATCTCTTTGCTATTGTGAACAAAGCAGAAGTAATATAGGTGTGTATATATATATGATATATGTTTGGGTGGCAGTTCTGGTTTCTATCTGCTCCTCCTTATATTCTTTCCATCCTAAGTCTCTGTCTTCAGGTTCCCCATTCACTATCAGGTCCAGCATACGTCACTCATTTACTCTTCATTCAACAAATATACATTTATTTACTTATTCATTACTGTTGTTATTGTGTACTGTAGAGTCGAAACTGACCCATATCTGACCCTCTGGTGGTTTTTTAGAGGCAGTTAATCACACGGAAGGAGACTGCCCACTGCCTTTGGGATGGTAGAGCAGCTTCTTGTCACTAGGCCACCAGAACTCTCACTCATTATTAGATGAAGGCAATTAGCGCAAATAG